ATAAATATATTCAAAAATGTATCTGAATAAATTCGAATAAACGAATATATGTGAATATATTTACATATTTATTTGAATAAATTCAAATATTTAATGTGGATAAATACGTAGGTGATCAAATATATTCAAATATATTTAGTTCAAATGTATCTGGATATATTTGCTATTAAAAATTTCCTGATGTATATTTGAAAAAAATACTAAAAAATTGAAGTCCGATATGTATCCGATATTAGTTAATATATATCTGATATGTATCTGAACTTTGACGCACTCATCTTATCTATCGGGAATTTGACATATTATAATTTATTGAAAATTGAATACCTATTACATACTTATTAGTTATCCGATAGGTATACAATAGGTACTAATTTTCTATAATTTGACTAGTATAAATAATTATAATAATATGTGTGAAAGAATTTTATTAGAATTTGCATAAACAAAAAAAGTATTAATAACTTGTAATATCTAGAGTTCAATTACAATGTAATTTTATCTTGGTATTACAATTCATTATATTAATAATAGTTGAAAATTACAACACTTTTTACTTGATCTTGTTCATTTTCTTAAATTACATATAGTAATTTTGAATTTAACAATTAATATTACAAGTATTAAATAATACAAATATAACTAAAAAATTATTAGGAATAACAATAGATAATACACAATCTATAAATGTAGTAGCTAGGAAATTTAAAGAAAAATTAAAAAATATTGAATTTGTTTATTAATAATGTACAGTACATATTTTAAATATTGCTGTTCAACATGAATTACAGTTGTTATCACCTCTTGTAAAAAAAAATTTGAGAATTTGTAGTAAAAATTTGATAATTATTAAAATTTAATGATTCATTAAAAATAATTTGTAGATAGAAAATATATCAGAATTAAAACCTGATTTAGATGTTAAACTCGATGGAATAATATTTATTTAATATTAAAAAAATTTTATCATATAAGAAATATTTTAAATATTTTAATTGCAAAAAATCAGAATTTGATTATTTTATATTTACAAAATGATGAATGACAAAAAATTGATAATATAATTTAATTACTTTCATCTGTTTTTATAGTAACAGAAATATTATCATCATCAATTTAACCTACAATAAGTAATGTACAATTAACTTTAATTGATTAATTTGACATCTAGATTTTTTTATTCAAGTTCAGGTTTCTTTAGATGAATGTGTGATGGCTAATTCAATTTCCTATAAATTGAAAAAATATTAATAAAATGTAGAAGAATCTACAGTATATCGATTGGAAGTTTATTAGATCTATGTTTAAAAACAAAAACTTTCAAAGATATTAATAAAAATAATATGGCAATTGTATTATTACAAAGTCTTATATCATTATATAAAATTAATAGACAAACTAAAAATATTATATCCAATTTCTAATCTTGAGAAAATAAACAATCATTTTTTAAATTTCTTCTTAATAATCAAACTTCTGAAAAAATATCAATAGAAGATGAAATAACTAGATATATATTTGTATCTGTTGATTCTAATTCTAATTCTAATTCATTGAATTGGTAGCAACATTTTAAAAAAGATTTCCTATTTTTTCACAAATGCAATGTGTTATCTAAGTATTCAAGGTTCTAGTATACCTTTAGAACAAGTATTTTCTATAACTACAAATACTGCACTTGTGATTATGTATTTAAAAAGTTGAATTTAACGAGTATGGAATAAAAAGAAAATGATAAATTTGATGAATCTTTTTTTTTTGAAATGTTAATTATATTAATTATATATAGTTTTAATTTCCTTTAATTTTTATTATTTTTTAATATTAAATATACATCTATCTAATAATCTAATCTTTTTTTTGATCATTTATTAAAATAGTTATATATAAATTTATATTTAATTATAGATTTATGTAATCATGTTTATAATATAAATCAAAGTTGAGACAAAGCCTCACCAAAACTTTTTTTTAAAAAAAAAAAAAGTTTATAATATAAATCAAAATAATAAATGATTATTTTTGATTATTTTTTCTAATAATTATTTACGTTAAGTGTTTACAATTATTTACATAACTAAAAACTATATAAATACCTATTTTCTGTAGGGGTGGTAGTCAGGGAAAAGGCAGTAAAATTAAGTTTTTTTGAAAGTTGAATTCAAAAATTTTTATTTCTATTAAAACTTTTGTAATTTTTATTCAATTTTAATTTTTAAACATTTAATAAAAAGAAATTAAATTTGGAACCAAAATATATAATTGTATTTGAGATTATTATTCAAGTTTTTAAATTATTTCAATTTAAAAATCAGTATAATTTTTTTTTACTTTCTTTAAATAATAATTTTAATTATAATTATTACTCTATAGAGTAAAGATATAATTTATATAAATTCAGAAATAATTATCGATAGTTGCTACATATAAAACTTTTTATTCTATAAGTAAACATTAAAAGCGGTATTAATAAATTTTATAGATGAGAATGTTTTCTATTATCTTTGAAAAATGCAAGCCTATTTCATTAAAATTGAGCAAATAATAGTCGTTTTAATTTTTTTTATCTGTTAAACTTTAAACGTGAATAATTTCCTCAATTTTGATGCAATAGATTTGTGTTTTTCATAAATGATAGAGTACATTCTCATCTATAAAATTTATTAATATCGTTTTTAATATTTACTTATAGAATAAAAACTTTTATATGTAGCAACCATCGATAATTATTTCCGATTTTATATAAATTATATTATGACATAATTACAACATTACAGCCAAAATTATGGCATTACGGCATTGGCGCAATTAAGAGAATAGTTGCAACTCTGCTGTAATACATTGATTACAGCAGGTATCTTTATTATAGAGTAATCTGGAGTAACCTGGAGTAACCCAGAGTAACCTGAAGTAACCTGGAGTATAATCTGAAGTATAAACCTGAAGTATTTAATTCAGGTTAGGTTGGGTTACCTCTTATTCCACTATAATATGAACCAAACCCAACCCACTCCACTTCATTAACAACCCTAATTACTCATTTAGCTATACAGTTAAGTGTTCCATCTTTTATAGACATTAACCAATTGACATTTGACTTTTAAATTTGATACAATTTATATATGTACTACTGTAGAGATGAAAAATGTAATACAAATTGAACTAGAAATTTAATCAGATTTAATTTAGCCAATTGAATTTAAAAATTAACTCTAATGCAATTAAATGCAATAGTTAAATGCTAGTACAAAGACTAAATTCTGGTATAATTCTAATTGGCTGGTATAATTATAAAATTTATTGATTAATTGTTTTTTAATATTTAAAGGTAATTGATTTTATATTTAGTTTTAAATTGATATTTTATAATAAAGAATGATTTTTTACTATGATATTTTTATAATAAATTGAAAATTCTGTATTTTTTTTTAGGAAAGGGTATTTATTTTAAGAAAGAGAAAGAGAGAATAAGAATTTAAAAAATTTTAAAAAGTTTAATATAGTTGGATTAAATTAAAATTTAGTTGGTGCAATTGAATTAAATTAAAATTTAGTTAATACAATTAATTGAACTAAAATTTAGCCAGAACAAAATCAATTAGCTAATATATAATTAATTGAGCCAGGTTAAAATTAATTGAGCTAATTATTTTTATATTATTGCATTACTAAAGGTGCAAAAAAAACATGTAAAATAGATTGGCAAAAAAAAAGTTTGTTCATGCTCCCTGCTGCTAAAGATATTAAATCACCATTTTGAATTTTGAATGAAAACTTGAGATATTGAACACCTTAGTAAAAATTTATTTCCTATGAAATAAAATTAAAATTACTTTAAACATTAATATTTCAACAAATATTAATACTAGAAAGATAATTTAATCACCATTGTGAAGCTTATGATGAGAATTTCAAATAATTCAAATGATTCTTAGGATTATCCTAGTAGAAAATTACTCATCATAATAGCCTAAAATATCATAATAAAAGATTTTTGATTAATAAATTAATAAAATAAAGATCGATAAAATTATTTACATATATGTACTAACTATTTATATCACCTGGTGATCATCAATTATCTCGACAGCTCGCAAAAAAAAAAAAAAAGTTTTTAAAAACTGGCGATGTTGATTTATTCTTGTTGAAAATTAAACGATAATATTCAAAAATGATAAATCCACGCATATTCTTTGATGTTGACATCGATGGACAACGAGGTAGTTTGTTTAAGAGTAAAAGGAAAAATCGCGACTCGATTATTACTATTAGTATTACTTTTTATAGATTATATATATATAAATATAAAACATCTTTTTCTTTCATATAAAAATATAAAATGTATATGCATATATAGTTGGCAGGTACTTTGTCTGCTTCAATTCGCTTATTTAAGACCTTCAAACCAAACTTTTTGAAGACTTCGCAACTTAATGGCAATAACCGTGCTTCAATATTAGTATGAACTGACTCACTACATTCCCCTTTTGCTTCCAAAGGATTATAATGGAGTTATTCCGCGATGAGGTTCCAGTATGTATAAACCTGTGTGAGAAAACCATTTAGTTGTTTGGTCTTCTTTTTTTTAAAAAAATCATTTCACTCTTATTTTATATGTAATTTATATAATAATAAAACTTATATATTAATAATAGATGACCGCGGAGAATTTTAGAGCTCTTTGTACAGGTGTGTTTTTTTTTTCTTTTCACTATTTTTCCCTCTTGATCTTTGATCTACTTATCTTTTAATAAGATATTCACTCTCACCTTATTTAAAATAATGTTTGTTAATTTCTTTTAGGTGAGAAAGGGGTTGGCAAACAAAGTAATATGCCCCTTCATTACCGCGGTTCTATTTTTCATAGGTAAAGGACATTTAATTTATATTTATATTTTTATATTTAATTTATATTTAATTATATTTAAATATAATTTAAAGTTGAATTTTCATTCTTTACTGACATTTATTCTATATTATTCAGAATAATTAAAGGATTTATGATTCAGGGAGGAGGTAATTAATTAAAGAATAATGCTTATAATAAACATATATATTGTTTAATCGACAAAAAATTTAATCATATTTTTTTTTCACATTCAGATTTTACGCGAAGAAATGGTACCGGCGGCGAAAGCATATACGGTGGAACATTTAACGGTAAGAACTTTTATTGTTTAATCATACCAAAACAAAGTCATCGTTGTCTCTTTTTGTATAACCATTCTACTAAAAAAAGTTTGCTAAAAAAAATAAATAAATAATTTATTTAAAAAAAAAAAAATTCATTTAAAAAAAATTTATTTAAAATAAAAATTGATTCACTTAAAAGATGAGAGTATGCGTCGCAAACATGATCAGGAAGGGCTCTTGAGTATGGCAAATAAGGGCCCAAATACTAACAATTCGCAATTCATTATAACTGTACGGCCTGCACCACATTTGGACGGTATTATTAAATTTAATTTTTTTAATATTTATATATATATATACATATATATATGCATAAATTATATATTCGTAAATATTTATTTAGATAAAGAAAATTTTTTTCACATTTTTAATTTATTTATTATTATTATGAAGGTAAACATGTTGTTTTTGGACGAGTCGTTAGTGGATATGAAGTTGTGAAAGAAATTGAAAATACACCTACGGATGAACATGATCGTCCCATTGGTATAGTAATGATTGCTCAATGTGGTGAATTGGAGTTGGTAATCCCTCCTAATATGAAAGGTTATTATTTATTATTTTGTGTTTATTATTTGTTGTTGTGTGTTTGTGTTTGAAGTTATTAAGATATATTCCTTTTAGTTAAAGACTCGACTATGCAAGAAATGAATGAACGAACTTCGGAATCCGAAGGTGAGAAAAAAACTAAAAATAATAAGAAATCTTCCAAAAAGTCTCGGCAGGAATCATCATATTCTAGCAGTGAACCTGGAGAAGAACATAAGAAAGACAAAAAACGGAAGAAAGAAAAATCTTCCAAGAAACGTAAAGAAAAGAAACGAAATCGAAGTCAAAGTAACTCATCATCTAGTACTAGTAGTAATCTTAGTGTAAATAGAGGGAGAAAACGTAAGCCAAGAAGTAGATCCAGATCTATTCCCACTTCAATTTCTAGATCTAGATCTGCATCTATGTCTAGGTCTCATAGTTCGAGGTCTTCTTCCAGATCTAGTAGTTCTGATTCTAGATCCAAGACAAGGTATTCAATTAAAAGATTTAAACATTTAAGATCAATTTCAAGATCTCCTATTTCCCTTCCTTACTCACACTCATTGTCTAGATCTACATCTCCGCCTCCTCGTTTAAGACGTTCACTTTCACGTATGCGTCGAACACGTTCCCGTAGTAGAAGTTTACTCCCTCGTCGAAGGATGGATAGTTATAGACCAGCAGATACGTATATTCCATCTCGTGATCGCGATCGCGAACGTGAACGTGATAGAAGATTTTCAGGTCGTTATAGGGATCGTACAGGAGCTAGAGCACGCAGTCGTGATTGGAGTCGAAGTCGTTATAGAAATCGTAGTCGAGATAAAAGTCGTGTTCGTGATCGACGGGAAAGAAGTCGTAATCCAAGTAGAGATCTTAGTCGAGATAATAGATCTCGAAGTCCTGAAAGGAATCGTAAGAATAATAAACAAGCTAGAAGTATCAGTCGTGATAGAGGTGGCTATCGTAGTAAAAGTCCTTACAATAAGGATGTTAGTCGTAGTAGATCTCGAGAACGGACTGAAAAATATAATAATGATAAAATGAATATAAAAACAAAAGATCGTGATCGTAGTAGAGATAACGAACAAAGAGAACGTAATAGAAGCAAATCAGAATCTCAATCCCCACCAGTTAAATACAAAGGCAGAGGAAGATTTGTATGTATATTATTATTCTCTCTGGGTCCTTTTTTATTATTATACTATTTAATAACTCTTTACTTTTTATAGAAGTTCTTTTCTGCATTAAATGCCTGGTAGCGATCAAAAATTATTGAAGAATAAATTATGTTTCTTTTAGGTATTATTGTGAGAATAGAGATTAAATTTGTGGCAAAAAAAAATTTTTTTTTGAAGTTTTTATTAAAAGGAATGTTCTTTTGTAAAATTTGATTTTAATATGACAACCAAATCCATCTTTGTCAATTAAAATGAAATCTAAAAAAAATTATTTGCGCTGTTTTTAAAATATAAACTTAAAATTTAATTTTGCATATTAAATATTAAGTACACATTTGGATTCTTTTCAGTAATTGACCTTATCTATTACTTTATTGATCATGTGTTCTGTGGAAGGTGATTACAACGGGACAATGGTAATCATTATTATTTGATCACTTATACATTTTTACTTATACATTTATTTTATATAATCAAAAAATAAAAAAAAAAAAGGGAAGTTGTAATCTTTATTTTACTTTATAATAATGATGTAAAAAGTAGTAAATATTTTCTAAGATTACTAAAGATTACTAATAACTATTAATAAGCGCACCACTATATTTATAATGAATAAGATTTAGAAAAATTTCTTATCAGATTATCGCAAGCAAAGGCAAAAATTGAATACCATGTTTACCACTTGTTTCTTCGGATCTTTTCCACCTAAAGAAACTTGGAAGTCGTCAATCTTGACAATCATCATCAGAACCACAAATAGTTTTTTCGTCATCTGATTCTAACATTGATTTAATTTCTTCAAATTTGTCGTTATTATTTGCTTCTCTTAACAAATTAATGCTGATCTCTTCAAATTTTTCTGCTTTAATCTTGATTAACTCGTCAGAAAAGTTTTCTATGTCAATTTCGTCTTCTTCGTATGACGTGAAATCTGTAATTTGCGCTAGTTTAAAAATTCCTTTTTCTAATGTTTTCTGTATAGATGATAAGTTAAGAGTTGATTTCTTTGTTCGTTTTGGTGATGATGAATTATTTTCATAAGAACGCAAGGCATGTAAAGTTTCGGTGAAACCGAATTTTCTTCATTATTTTAATGGCTTCCAGAGGGTCGCTTTCCGGGAAAGTTGAAATAACATTAGTAACCAATAATCGCATAAAAATTTATCATTTAACAACTTCGACTAATAAATAAAGTTTATTTTTTTAAGATAGTTTAGCGATTTAACAAAGTTACTTACCTCATTTATGTCATGGCTTTCATAAAAGTTAGATTTCTTTTTTTAGTCCTACCAACGTGATTAATGAAATCATTTACCTCATTTACCTTATTTTTTTCACCTTTTGCAGCTGAATTGAGAGTATATTCGATAACTTCATGCTCTTTGTCATAATACTAAATAAAATAATTATATGCTTTAGAACTTGAACTTTAAGAGACTACTAAATACATAAAGTTATATAAAACTTATTTACTGTTCGTTTAAACTCAATATGTTGGTTTATCTCTTTATTCTTTTTACCCTTATAAACCTTCGGAAGTGGATAATATAACTTATCTTTTGGCTTTATTTAAAAAAAAAAAACGAATATGAATGAAAATGTACATTGTAGCCTCATGTACAAATGCAAAGAGTAAAGCACAAAATAAAACATATGACAAATTACTTACCTGTACCTCTATATTTTTTCCTTTAATATTTAAAGCCAAAAGAAGATCATTACGCTTTGACGAACTACGAGTAATTCGTTTGTTCCTCAAAATCATAACTGGAAAAGGTTTTACTCTTGACATGGCGCGAAATTATTAACGAATAAGAAATAAAAGTAATAGATTGCTATATCTACAAAAGTTTTTAAACGTGTTTATTTGTAAAAAACGTAAAATGGAAAGAGAATTATGAGAAAACGTTTTATAATTTCTTTATTTTGAAAACTTTTGAGATTTTATCTTCCAATAGGAAATTATGGATGATTTTTTAATTAAAACTGGAGCATGTGTACATTTTAAAAAATCATGTGGGAAGCGTATCACGTATGTAAAATTTGAGTCACAAATATACAGGAACAATAGTGACTTGGGTTTGCTTCATTCAACTGTTCGCTGAACTACAAAACCAGTGTTAGAGCACAAGCATTCTGCTGTCAAGGCCGTTGTTACTATTTTTTTTTTATATACGTTTTTCCTTGTCGTTGCCCCCCGTTTTTCTTACTTTTGTCCCTAGAATATTAATAATTATTGATATTTATATATATTTATTCGTCACCTACCTTTACTTATCAATGCCTATTCACTTACCCTGTGACCCTATTTTCGAATTTGCCCCTTCTTGAAATCGCCCTAGTAAATTCTTACCCTAAATTTTAATTATATTTATGACGATCTTTTACTGCGCCAGTTATGTGCCACGTGACTTGAAGGTTATGAACCACTTACCCAGTATTACCAGAACCATTTTCACTCTCACATGATGTGCTTCATGAATTATGGTTAGGGTTTATCAGGGGTAATGTATTTATCACCATGTACACTCCCCTGTCAAAAGTATCCGACCACCTAAAAATTTGTATTTTTTAGGTAAATTTTTATTTGCTAATAACTCATGATCTAATTTATTAAATTGGATCAAAATTTTTTTTATTTATTTCCCTGATTCTGACCTTTCATATAATACCTTTTATGTTGAAATTAGATAGATATTTGTTGAAAAAAATTTAATTTAAAGAAAACTTTTCAAAATTTAAATTTTAAAACTATAACTTTATAATTATTCGATTTCGATAAGTATTGATCATAACTATAAAGAATCTTATAGAAATTTGTAGTCAAAAATATAAGCTACAACTTTAATTAGAAGTACATTTGATAGAAACTAGAGAAAATTTTGACTTTACTTAGACTGAACTAAATTTATTTATTTATTTATTTATTTATTTTAGCAGACCGGTGTGATCTCATATAGTTTCCTTTAAGTATTACAAAGAATACAATGAAATTGCATTAGCTAATCTAACGATACGATTTAACCTACCACCATGTAAAATTAGATTTTACAATTAGTAAGTTTCAACTGCTACAGCCCCACTAACATCTATTCTTAATAAATTGAAAATAAACTTGTAAATTGAGATATCTATCTGTAATGTGTAATCTATTGCTATATTTAGAATGTGATCCTTGGATCTTTCTATTTGTTTTTTTTGTTTTTTGTATTTTTCATTATTTTTTTCCTTATTTTTGTTTTTGTATTTGGGAATTCTTTCATTTTCTTTTTTATTTCTTTTTGCTCATTTGTTTCTTAAGTTTGGTTATTTTTCTCTAATCACAATTCATAGAGTTTCGCTATTGTAGTTTGATATATTTTGAGGACTTTGTCTGTTTTTCTATTTGACTTTGATATTGTTACTTTTTGGTTAATTATGTGTTTTGGTATGAGTTCTCTTATTATATTACTTAGGTTGAATTTTGAGTCTTTTGTTGTTTTCCATGTATTTATTCTATTCAGGTTGAAAAAATATAATTTGTTCTTTATTATTTTTTCCTTTATAAAATTTCTAATTTTATCATGGTTGATATTTAGTTTTTTAAGGTGATTTTTAATTGTATTAATTCATATTTGTTTGAAATTTTCTTTATTAGCTTGACACGTGAAGATGTGAAGTGTTGACTCTATTTGTGTTTTATATCTTGAGCAGTTAGGGCTCTGATATATTTCTTCTTTGAGGTTATTTAATCTTTAGTATGTTGGTAATTTAACGCATATTATTTTAATTCTGAATGTTCTTAGACTTTGGTCTGTACTTGATGTTTCTTCGTTTGTTAGTTTTGAGTGGATTAAAGCTTTTTTTGTTATATTTCAATCTATTGCTTTTTCTATATTTCTATTGAATGACTGAATAAATTTGAGTTGTATTTTTTAATTGATTAAGTTTTGAATGTTAGTGATGTCTTTGGTTAATTCTTGTATTAGGTAATCTAAAAATTTGTTTCTATTTTTTATTTGATAGTTTTCTACAAAATTATATTCATAGTTAAGATCTACTATCATTTTACTTATTGTTCCTTTTTGAACTAATTTATTTGCTTTATCATTTAGAGGTATTCCTGCATGTACTTTTATTTTAGTCAATTTTAGGTTTATGTTTTTTTTTATTATTGTATCTTTTATTATTAGTAACAAGTTTGGATTTTTTATAAATTTTTTAGCATTTTCTTTATTTGAAGTGAACAAAGTTGGTTATTGAGTCTATTGAGCTTTTTGAATCTGTGAAGATTTCTATATTTGAGTTATTTGAAATTATTGTTATAGTTAATACTATTACTACTAATTCTGCTCTTGTTGATAATAGAGAACCTGTTGTTTTTTTATTTAATTCTTTAATTATTTCATTTGTAGTTTGGTTTATAAGCGTTATTCCATATCCCATCTGTGTTTATTGTTTTGTTAGCATTTTGCTATTATAGATCTTTTTCATCGATCCATTTATATATGCTATATAGTTTTTTATGTTATTTTTTCTTAGGTTGTTGTATATGTATAATAGATCTTATTTTTTTTATTTTGTTAATATGAATAGACAGTTAAAGTTATTCTCGTTACTTTGTTTTTTTTTTCTTATCTATTACACTGGTCGAAAATTGATAAAACATACACATATCGGGTATCCGATATATATATGGTATGTCCCTAATATCAGGTGTATATCGGGTACCCAATAGGTATAAAAAATATTTTATATATATATCAGATATCTGATAAGTGTAAAAAAATATTTTCTACACCTATCAGGTACCTGATATATATCTGATATTAGAGACGTACCATGCACTATACCTGCTGCCCAAATCCCAAATTATTACGGCATTATGGTTGCCAAAATATGCCAAAATTATTTGGGATCTGAAGGTCAAAAAGTTCCAAATCCCAAATTAATTTTGGCATCCCAAATATTTGGAAGTGAAAAAATATTTGAATCAGTGTAACGGAATCAAAGATCTTTTTATAACGTAATATAATCAGTTTTTTTTTTTTTATAATTTTTTTTCTTTAAAAAATAAAAATAAAAATAAAACTTATACATACCTTGTCTCTTGTCTTAATAATACACATAATTTCTTCTTCTCAACCTTCACTGGTTCGTGGAAATATTTATGGAGGTCGAAATCGGCTTCGTGAATTCGAAGGGATGGACGATTAAATGATAAGGTGAGTTATTATTTTTTTATATTATTTTTTATTTTTTTTTAAAAAATAAAATAAACTTATATAAATATCATTTTTGCCTTAATAATACACTTACTTTTCTCCTTCTCTTCTTAGAACTGAGCTTGTAGGCAGGTCGAAATGAACTTCACGAGCTCGCAAGGATGTACGGTAAGTTTTTTTTTTTATTTTATTTTATTATTATTATTTTTTTTTTTTTATTTATTTTAAAATTATTTTTATTTTAAAAAAGATAAAATAGACTTATCTTTCTCTTTTTCTTCTTAAAATTGGAGCTCGTGAGTTTGTGAGAATGCTTGTGGAGATTGAAATAGGCTTCGCAAATTCGTGATAAGTTTTTTTTTTATTTTTTATTTATTATTTTTTTTTATATTTATTTTAAAATTATTTTTATTTTAAAAAAGATAAAATAGACTTACCTTTCTCTTTCTCTTCCTAGAATTGGGTTCGTGAGGATACCTATGGAGGTCGAGATACCTGTGGAGGTCGAAATGAGCTTCGTGAGGACGTACGGTAAGTTTTTTTTTATTTTAAAATTATTTTTTTTTAAAAAAAAAAGAATATACTTATCTTTTTCTTTCTCTTTCTCTCCCTAGAATCGAGTTCGTGAGTTCGTGAGAATGTCTGTAGAAGTTGAAATGGACTTCGTGAGCTCGTGAAAATGTATAGTAAGTGTTTTTTATTTTTTATTTTTTATTTTTTATTTTTTTATTTTTTTTTATTCTAAAATTATTTTTTTAAAAGTAAAATAAACTTACCTTTCTCCTTCTCTTCCTAAAATTGGACTCGTAGGTTTATGAGAATACCTGTGAAGTTGAAATGGGCTTCGCGAGCTCGCAAAAATGTATGGTAGATTTTTTTATTTTTTTATTTAAAAAAAAAATTATTTTTTTAAAAAAAAACAAGTAAAATATACTTACCTTTCCCCCTCTCTCCTTAAAATTAGACTTGTGAGTTCAGAAGAATATCTGTTAAGGTTGAAATGGGCTTCGCGAACTCGCGAAAATGTAACGGTAAGTCTCTCCTTAGAATTGGGCTCGTGGGTTTGGGAAAATGCTCATGAAGGTCGAAATGGGCTTCACGAGCTCGTGAAAACATATGGTAAATGTTTTTTTATTTTTTATTTGTGAGTTTGTGAAGATACCTGTGAGCTTCGCAAGCTCGCAGGGATGTATATTAAATATTAAATATCAAATATTTTTATTATTATTATTTTTTATTTATTTATTATTCTTTTTTTTATTTATTCTTTTTTTTTTCTTTTTTCTTTATTATTCTTTTTCTTTATTATTCTTTTTTTTTTATTTAGGTTTAGTTAGTTTGTACAATATGGGTAAATTTCGCGACGTAACTTATGCACTAATAAATACGCGAAAGTATATATACATGAATATAAATATTAATAGACATGTACTATTAACATATTTGAATAAATAAAATAATTTAATGTATACAAGTAATGTGTAACATCTAACAATGAAGATAATCATATAATTAATCTGTAATCTATTTTGCTAATTCATTTCTTTAACCTTTAATTTGTTTTTTTTTTACATATGGGTGATAGTGA